GGTGAGTTCTAGTCCCGCCTTAGGCAGGAAAGCCCATTGGGTGACTTGGGAGTCTCTCAGCCCAACCTACCTCCCCGAGTTGTTGTTGTGGGGAAAATAAAAGGAAGAAGGAATTACAAATATATTCCGCACCCTGAATTATTTATGCAAATAATTGGGATACAAATATCATAAATCTTGTGGGCGCTCTCGCAAAATGGCTCCTCCGCTGCTGTTCCAGCTCAGGGCCGCTGCCCACCTCCGGAAGACCAGTGCCCGGGGACAAGATGATGACCATTTCTCTCTCCCCAGGTTCCAACTGCCAGTCTGGTCCGAGCGAAAGCAATTCCTTCTGGGACTTCAATACCCCGTTCGGGGAGGTGCATAAAGGTGAGCCCAAGTGGGGAGCAAAGCCCACCTGCACGGAGAGCATCCTTGACTGTGGAACTCCCTGACACAGGACGTCAGTAGGCCCAAGAGGCTCGATTGGGCAAAACGCCAAAGAGCACCTTGCAAATCGCGCTGGCTGGGTTTTTGCCCCGTTCTGTCCAGTGTCTGGGAGGTATCGGGGAAAGAGCACCACCCAGAGCTCAAGGGATTTGGTCCTCTAGGAGGGGGCCTTTAGCCTGAGCAAAGCGGCTCTTCTGATGTTCTGCCAGGCTGGGACCCCCCAGGGCTGTGGTGGCAGCTTCACCGGTGCAGCTGAGGGACCAGAAGCAGGAAGAGGAAGGTGGGGATTATGGGTGTGATTAGTCACGTAAGGTGGTCTGTCTACCTACCCACCCTCTTCTCTTCCTTCCTCCCTCCCTCCCTCCTCCCGTCCATCCCTTAATCCTTTCTCCCAGCTTCCTCTCTTCCTTCCTTTGATCTCTTAATCCTTCCTTCCTCCCTCCCTCCCTCTGTCTCTCCCTTCCTTCCTTCCATCCATCCATCTCAATCTTTCCTCCCCCTCTCTACCTTCTTTCCTTCAAACTCCCCTTCCTTCCATCCGTCTTCCAGTCCTCCCTCCCTCCCTCTCCCTTCTTTTTCATCCTCCCTCCCCTCTTTCCCTCCATCCTTCAATCCTTTCTCTTTCTTCCTTCAATTTCTAAATCCTTCCTTCCTCACCTCCCTCCATCCCTCCCTCCCATCCATCCATCTCTCAATCCTCCCTCCCCCTCCCTCCATTTCTTCAAACTCCCCTTCCTTCCTTCCATCCATCCATCCATCTTTCAGTCCTCCCTCCCTCCCACTCTCTCCCTTCTTTTTCATCCTCTCTCCCCCCTCCCTTCCTTCTTTTTTATCCTCCCCCTCCCCCTCCCTTCCCTCCTTTGATCTCTTATTCCTTCATTCCTTCTTTTCTTCCTCCCTCTCATCCCTCCCTCCCTCAATACTTCTTCCCCGCCTTCTTTCCTTCAGACTCCCCTTCCTTTTCTTCCTTCCTTCGTTCCTTCCATCCATCCATCTCTCGTGCCTTTCTTTCCTCACCCTCCCCACCTACCCTGCTCCCTCCCTCCCGTCGCACGTCCTCCCCTCTTTTGTTCAAAACTAGCAAAAAGCGCCATAAACTGAGCTCACGTGACCCCAGAAAGCCCCCACTGGCCATAAAGTTGAGCCATTTGCCAAGCACCCGAATCGTGGTGCCATGGGATTGTGGGTGTGTGCGCGTGTGCAGCCATCCTCGCTCCAGAACCAAATCCTAAGTAGCTTTCGGGAGGCCCATCATAACTTCGACCAGTCACTAAGTGAGAGGTCGTAAGTGGAGGACTAACCTATACCTGTTTTCTATGTTTGCCAGTGTTCTTTTTTTTCTTTTTTTCCTGGCTGAACTGAACGGCGGTTCTGCCTCTGGGTGCAGGAAACATCTGGCTGCACGCTGGGAGCACACAGCGGGAGATTCCCTGCCTTTTGCAGATGTTTGGGCCTTTCTGATCACATCTGTTTCCTTTTGGCTAACAGAGGCCGACAGTTCTGAAGAGGATTCGGACGAATGCCGCTGCCTGAACGGACGCTGCGTCCGCACCCAGCAGGGTTCTGTGTGCGAATGTCCCACCGGCTTCCAGTTGGACAGCACTCGCACCCGCTGCCTGGGTAAGAGGGCTGGGTGGAAGGCTCCCCCGCTCCTGGGCCACCCTGAGATTCTCGGCCAGGTGAACCCTTGCGAGGATGTGGCAAGAGAGCGTTTACTTTCATGCTCTCAGGATTAGGTGGAGACTCTGAATTCAGTGCAGTCTATCTTAGGATGCCACCAAGCAGGCTCACCCTTTGTGGCACCCTGGTCATGGATGCATCAACTTACAATCACAATTCAGCCCAGAATTCCCATTGCTAAGTGAGACAGTTGTTAAGTGATTCTTGCCTCATTTTACCATCTTTCTTGCCACCATTGTTAAGTGAATCAGTGCAGTTAAGAAGATGGATGGATGGAAGGAAGGAAGGAAGGACGAAAGGAAGGAAAGATGGAAGGAAGGAAGGGAGGGAGGGAAGGAAAGACGGAAGGAAGGAAGGTAAATAGTAATAGCACTCAGACTTAGATACTTCTTCGCAGTGCTTCACAGCCCTCTCTGAGCAGTTTGTTAGAGTCAACCTCTGGCCCTTAACAATCTGGGTCCTCATTTTACCGACCTTGGAAGGACGGAAGGCTGAGTCAGCCTCGAGCCGATCAGGATCAAACTCCTGACTGTGGACAGAGTTTGCTTGCAATTTTGCATTCTAACTGGAAGGAAGGAAAATAGCAATAGCACTTAGACTTATATACCGCTTCCCAGTGCTTTCCAGCCCTCTCTCTAAGCGGTTTACAGAGCCAGCCTATGGCCCCCAACAATCTGGGTCCTCATTTGACCCATCTTGGAAAGCTAAGTCAATCTGGAGCCTGGTGAGATTCGAACTGCCAAACTACAGGTGCAGCCGGCAGTCATCAGAAGTTGCCTGCAGTACTGCACTGTAACCACTGCGCCACCCTGGACGCTGCAATGGTTGTAAGTGTGAAAAACGGTCCTAAGTCCCTTCCCCCACCCCCAGGGCCATCGTAACGGTCACTAAACAAAACGGTCCTAAGTTGAGGAGTACCTGTGAGCAGGATATTTTTTCTTTTTCTCCCCAAGGCCGAAAACGGAAGGAGCCTCCTTCGTCCGTCCTGTGACCTCTTCCTTCCTTTGTAGATATTGACGAGTGCCAGGAGCTCAACCAACGAGGCCGTCTGTGCAAAACCGAGCGTTGCGTGAACACCAGCGGTTCCTACTTCTGTACCTGCAAGTCCGGCTACTCGCGGTCCTGGCCACACGGAATCTGCGTTCCTCAACGATAGCGTGGCGTATCGACCACGGCGTGGAAAGTTGGGGGGGACACGTGTGGCCATCCTTGAGCGCCCTCCCCGGTCGTGGGGTGCTTCTCGCTGTCCACCATCGGAAAAACTGGACCTTGGCCTGAGAGCAGCTTTTTGGGGGGGTCTAAATTCCCCAAGGCAGTTCTCACTTTATTATATGAACCTTTAAAAAAAAAAAAGAAAGTTGTACCAGCTACTATGTGGGGCATTGATTTTTTTGCTATAGAATTTTATACCTATTTCCGTTTCTGTTCCTTTTTAACCCGCTGGATTTGTTAGGGTTTTGTGTTTTTTTTTTTTTTTTAAACGGTTTGCACTTGTTTCTATAGGATTCAGAAATTTAAAAAAAAATTCTTTTGTACATAATAGACATTGCTGGAAGGAAAATAAAAAACGGAGACTTCAAAGTATTAAAAAAAAAAAGGAAATTGCCATACGGATTTGACGGTGTCTGATTTGCTCTCGGCGGCAGGAGAAAGGAAAGGCTTGATTACAACATGGTGTCAACTCATAAAATAGTTCTATGGTCTTTTTCGAGTTGCCAACAGAAAGGAACGGGGCAGCAGTGCAGCTGCTTGCAAACTGAAAGTGCATTCTACAAATGTTTTCAAAGATAGTAACTAGGTGACCGAAGTTTCTGCCGTGCAAAATTCTAACTGGAGAGCATGATTGATGACTCTGGGCTACGGAGGTGTCCCATTGGAGAATATGAATTAGGATACACCCAGGGGGAGAGGGAAAACCAGGGTCAAGGGTGACAAGGAAGATGTGTCTCAGAGTCAGCTGCATCCAGGCAGTGCCGGCATGTTAACTCCCAATAAATCCTTTTGAAGTTTTGGAAGTTTGGCTCGAGACTCAGGATTTAAATGGGGGCAACGGCCGGAATCCAGTGGGGCATTTTAACATTTTCAGGCAAAAAGCACGTTTATCCCTACCCAAATATTTATATTTTTAACCATCAATCCCACATCTCTGATTCTATGGGATTGCTGATATTTTTTAAAAAAGTTATGCTCCTTTGTGGACAACTGAGCTTTGTGGATTCCTATCACACATCCCCATGGTTTGCTCAGTTCATCCAATTTTATGAATTGGCACAAAATACTGCAACTACAGTAGAATCATGAGTGGTGCAGGTGGCCTAGAGGTGGCGCTCTCCCCTCACCATCAGGAGGCTGTGAGTTCGATCCTAGGGAGAGGCAAATATTTCTCGGCACAATGAGAATATATCTGCCGAACAAAACTCCGCATTGGTGACAGGAAGGGCATCCAGCCAGTAAACAGCTCCATTCAGTTGTGCAGACTCCACTCCGCAAGGGTTTATGGCATCGTTAAAAGAGGGTGATGATACAACTAGGATCATAGCGCTACATCACTCAGTATATCACATAAATACAAGTTTTTTATAGTCAAAACTTTCTTCTACACACAAAAGAAAAAGACTTACAACCACAACTCGGCTCCAAATTTTCATTGCTGGTTAAGGCAGCTGTAAAGTGAGTTTTCTTCCATTTTACAACCTTTGTATCACAGTTCTTAAGCAAATCACTACAGTTGTTAAATCACTGCATTCCACAGCACACCCTATTTGACATAATCATGGGTCCAGCCGCTTGCATAAATTAGAGATATGAATTATTAAAAGTACAAGCATACAAGGGATGTGATTGTTAGAAGGCGGGTAAATCTGGTTATTTTGCTCTAGAATCCTGAGGTCAAAAGAGTAAAATTCTCCCTCTTCTCAGTTGCATCCTCCTCTTAAGAATTTGAATTAAATTTAGGATTTAATTAAATTTAGGATTTAATTAAATTTAGGAAGAGGGAAATGTATGCTTCTGGGGGAGGAAAATGTAGTTATTTTAAAAAGCATGGCACTAAATGTAGAAGTGAAAAAGGCACAGTGCAGAAAATAATTCTTCCAGGCACCCTTTGGAAACTGAGCTTCAGGTTTCTATTCCTGTAGACTACAAGTCCCAGAGTGCATAACGTTGACTCCCCCCGCCCCCCCCAAAAAAGGATTAGTTCCCAAGATTCAATGGGAGTTCCTGACTGTGGCCTCTGATGTGAACCTAGAGATATAAAAAGTAGAGTAGCTCTAATGTCTGGAGATAACACTTGTGGGCTCTCTTTTTTTAAAAAAGCAAAATCCCTGGGAATTAAAACACATGCATTCGAATTTTTTTTTTGCATTTTTACTTCCAAATACTGGCAAAAATTGCTGCCACTGCAGTAAGATTAGGATTAGCATACGATTAGTTTTGGATTTTTGCAGGCAGACTTGGTTCAAAGCCCAGATCAAAAAAAGGGGGAAAAAAAGGAAGTAGAATAAAATTATATGTTGCAATTCCAGGCTACTAGAGGCTGCAAAATCCTTACAAGCGGGAGTGTTTTAAAGGGCTTTTAAAACTAGTGGACTTCAACGCCCAGAATTCTCCAGCCAGCCAGCACAACACATGCACAGCTGGCTGGGGAATTGTGGGAGTTGAAGTCCACTGGCCTTTAAAAATTAGCCCAGCTTGTACACGCCTGCCTTGAAGTTTTTGTGGGAGGGGAATTGCTCTCCCTGACTCCGCCCACCCTTTCCCTTTTGGAAGCCCATCTCCACCCACCCCCCTTTCAAAGTCTGTATGCAATTCTTCCCAGCGTGCCTTGCAAAAAAGTGGGACTTCAGCGCCCATGCTCCTTTGCGTGGCAGGGGCGGGAGGCGGCGCAGGCGCGATGGCTTTGCAGCCGCGCGTTTGAATTGCCCAGCAGGGAAGGTGAGTGGCGCGCGAGGGGAGGGTGGGGGGCGTTGCAAGGGGGCGCGGAGCCCCCCCCCCCCGTTCCCCATTTGCAACAAGGTGCGGGGGAGGGACTGGAGACGGGGCTGCAAGGAGGGTCGCCTTCCAGCAGCCCCCCAACCTCCAGCCGTTTGCAAAGCCGGTGAGGGGGGTCCTTTTGTCTCTAACGGGAGTGGTGGGAGAGTCCGCAGCCTGGTGGTGCCTCCCCCCCACCCCCCCCGGCGTGGGGATTTAGCTTTGCATGGAGCCAGCTCCGCGGACCAGCTAGCCTGGCTTGTCCTAAATAAAGCAGCGTTTTCCCACTTTGCAATTTGAAGGTGGGTGCGTTGCAAGTCCCAGAATTCCCCCGGCGAGCATGCATTACTATCAATCAGAGGTCTCCAAACTTGGCCACTTTAAGACTTGCGGACTTCAACTCCCAGAGTTCTCCGGCCAGCTTTACGGGCTGGAGAATGCTGGGAGTTGAAGTCCACAAGTCTTAAAGGCACTAAGTTTGGGGACCCCTGGCTATAAATGGACTTGAATTCCCCGGCCGTCATGTTTTAAGGGGTGTGGGTTTTGGGACTCCCAGAATTCCCTGAATAGCAAGCATTAAGGGGCTGTGGACTTCACTATAGACTGGTCTAGTCTATATTGGAAGTTCACACATCTTAAAGCATACTGGCTGGGGGATTCTGGGAATGAAAGTCCATTTTTGGTAATGCATGGTAGCACGGGGAAATTCTGGCAATTGCAATCCATCCTTCTTAAAATTGCAAAGGCGGAAAACCCTGCTTTAGGGGAAGAACAGAAAATAGAATTGAATACAGTAGAATAATAGGGTTGGAAGGGGCCTGCTCAGACAGGAAACCTTAGACCAGTGATTGTGAACCTTTTCTGCTCCAAGTGCCCAAACCGGAAGGGGCATGCATGGCCGGAGTGCCAGAAACCCAAAGACCAGCTGCATGGCTTTTTTTTTGGCCTGTTTTTTACTGTTTTCAGGCTGTTTTGGGGGCTGTTCTTAGGCCCTTTGGGGGGCTACTTTGGGGTGCTCTAGCACCCACAAAGACCACCTCTGTGCATGCCACAGGTTTGCCATCACGACCCTCGACCATTTCATACAAATGATTGTCCAATCTCTTCTTCCAAACTTCCAGCATTAGAGCATTCACAAGTTCTAGAGGCAAGTTGTTCCACTGATTAATTGTTCTGTCATTTCCAGAATTCCCGAGCCAGCATCCTTTAAGATTCATAAACTTCAACTCCCAGAATTCCCTCGCCAGCATGCTTTAAAGAAGTTGAAGTCCACCGCTATTAAAGTCTGCTGGCTGGGGAATTCTGGGAGATGAAGTCTACCCATTTTAAAAAGCATCTGGCTGGGGGATTCTGGGAATTAAAGTCCACCCATCTGAAAGCATCTGGCTGGGGGATTCTGGGAGTCGATGTCTTCTTAGTGTTGCAAAGGTTGAAAACGCTTCCTTAGAGTAGCATTGAACTTTCAAAGAGAGCCCGTGCTTCCCTGCTGTGGATGATGGGCCTTGTCTTGCAGCCGGGCCTTCAGAGCCCCTCCTCTCTGCTTGCCTTGCAGCCCTGCCTGCGGTGGCCATGGGGCTGAAAAGCGCCCAGAAGGCCTTGTTCCCCTTGCGCTCCGTCTCTGATGTGGTGCGCCTCTTCGAGCTGGAACTCCACCGGGAGCAGCCGGATCTGGTGCTCCTCTCCTTGGTTCTGGGCTTCGTGGAGCACTTCTTAGCCGTCAACCGAGTTCTTCCCACCAACGTTCCCGGCATCAGCTTCGAGCTGGCTCAGGGTCCCGAAAACCTCACCTACTTCCCCGTGGCTGACTTGAGCATCGTGGGTGCCCTGCATGCCCGCTTCACCGCCCAGATCCGTGGCGCCGTGGATCTCTCGCTGTACCCCCGGCCGGACGGTTACTCCTCCCGGGAACTGGTCAAGAAAGTCTCGGACGTTATCTGGAACAGCCTGAGCCGTTCTTACTTCAAGGACCGAGCCCACATCCAGTCTCTCTTCAGCTTCATCACAGGTGGGAGATCTTAGGAGATGCTGCCCAGGGGGAACAGACAGACCATCCTTGACTTACGACCATAATTGAGCACAGAATTAGGGTCATAAGTTATTACGGTGATTAAGCAGATGTGAATGTCCCAATTTTTCTACATTTGTTTGCAGCGGTTGTTAAGTGAATCATTAAGCGAACTCAGTATCCCAAATGGGTGGGGTTTTTTGTGTGCTGAATTTGGAAGTAAATGCTGTGTCAACTCGTAAAATATTTCTCTGGGTCTTTTTAGAGTTGCCAGCAGAAAGGGAGGGGGAAGCAGTGCGACAGCTTGGAAATCGAAAGTGCATTCCACAAATGTTTTCAGAGATAGTAACTAGGTGACTGAAGTTTCTGCCGCACAAAATTCTAACTGGAGAGCCTGAGGGATGACTCTTGGCTAGGGAGGTGTCCCATTGGAGAATATGAATTAGGATACACCCAGGAAGTGGGGGAAAACCAAGATCAAGGGTGACAGTGAATGATG